AGTGGGGAACTGGGGTACAGATTTGGTTTTGAACCCCTGCCCCCCCCCCCCCTTCATATAGATTTTAACCTTCTTTGTTGCACCTAGAAGAATGCATCATGGAGGCTACTCCAGCTTTTCATGCCACTGTGCAGACTGGAGGCAACAGCTTAATTCAGTGGTCAGCCTAGCTAGTTGAGCTAGATTTTATATTTAGAATTGGGGCCTCCTGTACAGCTAATAAAAGTTTATTCCTGCATCCTTTACTTCTGCAATTAAGGGGAGTCAAATTTTACATTTTAAATGATCGTAGTAGTGTCTTTTGTCTATATCTTTCATGTTCAGATATGTTCAGTGTATTATGGTGTGTTGAATAAGCTTGAAACGCCTAGAATTTAAGAAATATCTTTCCTGTGTCCATAAAAGCACTTTCCTCCATTCTGACAGAATTATGGAAGCTTCAGAGCAACCATATAAAGATATAAAAGAGTTTACTTTTAACAACACATAGTGGCCCTTGTGCTTATTTATATCTTCTGCATTTGCAACTGCAACACTGTATTTTAAAGAAGTCAGATAAAATGCTTTATCCACTGGTTATATTTTTTTGAAGTTTGGGAGATATGTTTAGTTTTTATGTTGGAAACTGCCATGCTATTTTAGGATCTGCTGAAAAAGAGTGTCTGAGAAGAAGAGAGCCATCATAAAGCAAGGCTTTGGGAAATCACAGGTTTTCAAACCAAGTTTACTGTAAATATATTAGATCTGTAGTTAGTTTTCAAAAAAAACATTTTGAAAAACACAGCTGCTGCAGAGATATCATTAGTTTTAAAGGCCCCAGCTCTGAAAGACTTAAGTGCATGTTATTTATGCATTTTTAAGAACTACTCTGTATAAAGTGAATCACATGTATAAATAGTAGCAGGTCAGGGCATAATGTTTGTCTAATTATGCCTTTGACAGATTCTCACCTGTGATGTGTTTGAAAAAATGGTCCTAGTTTGATAGGGTTTAGGCTTTTTAGGGAACCTTTTATTGTCTCTCCCTCCAGCATGTGTATATATATATATATATATGGTTTATATTAGGGTTATTATATATATTAATAATAGTCATAAACCTAAAAAACTAGCACTATTCTGTCCCTGCACCCTCTTTGTGTCTTGACTGATTTAAATTTTTTCTGTGTGAAAGTGAGCACAAGTGTGACAAATAAAACTCAAATGTCTCTCAGACCTGCAAGTTAACACTTTGTTGTCATTTGATATTTTACTTTTTAAACTAACGTTAAATTTTGTCCAGGCTTTTTACTTTTCTGATGCATGTGGTATGTTACCCGTGTTTAAAAAAATAACAACACTTTCAAAAAAGTGTTTCTACTTAGGAAAGAGACAGAGAAGTGAGGTGAAAGGGCAATAGACACTTGATTAAGGCATTGCGTCAGAAGTCTAATGTCAGGAAGCAGAAGTTATATTTTGGATAACTGGATTTTTCTTGAAGACCTTCTTTTAAAAGGACGACAGATTAAAGTGTTTGCTTACCTTTGCCTGGGTTAAATTATATGGTGAATGCCTCTGATATAATATTTGAATTTCATCTGAAGGCTGTAAATATTTTTCAGATCTGTCTCAGCTATTCATATGTTTAGGAGAGACTCTCACTTGAGCTGAAGCATATCCATCATTCTTAAGAGTATCCATCATCACACTTCCTGATTCAATAAGAGATGATATCTTATTATCCTTTCAGTGAGTCACCATATTTATATGTTTAGTTGACATTGTCCAGATGTATCTTCTTTGATTCAGACTGTTGGGTATTGTGGGACTTACCATTCCCAGTGCTCCACATAACTAAGATTGCAGTTGTGTGATGCTGTGCCATACAAAAAACTGTTTTTTTTATCTGTGAATGGCATCACCAGATATCAGCTGAGTTTGGCAGAAAAGGTTTATACTTTTCAGTTTTCTTAAAAAGATCAATTCAGTCTAGTGATTCTTCATTAGCTTATAAAATGATAAAAATTCTAATCTGAATTTGCTGCTGATAGCTAGTTAGTATAAGGTTTTTTTTCTTTTACAAAAGGTCAGTATGTAACATTGAATGTATAGGTTTACTGTTACTTTATTATATTATTGTGTAATATTTTAAAGTTGAAGCAGTGTTTAGGAAATGCATATAATTATTTAGATTCTGTGTAGACTGAAACATTAGCATAAAGCAATTTCAAAATGAAACTTTTGCTAGAAGGTATTGATTGTAGTATGACTATATTATAATTTTCACTTAACAAAGCATGCCTTACCATCTTGCATTAAATCAAGTTTCTTTCCCCTATTTTAATGGACTGTGTGAAAGATTGATTAGGAATTGCTTTCTTTTCTATGTTATACTGATTGTGATGTGCCTTCTAATTTTGTTACAGTCAGAATAAAAGAGAATTAGGAACATCTAACCAAATGTTCATTACTTAGGAGATATACAATACACATTCTGCAAAGACAGAAGTCGGGAACTACGCCTCTTCTTGATGATGTATTTTATAAATTATCTGCTTGTAGAAGAAGTGTACATTTTTTAGTAAAATGAGAAAATGATTTGAGGGAAAAGCTTACATAAGTATCAGTATATGGGCCATTTCCTGCTTTATTCTTTGTGCTTGAGAGATCCTTTTTGTTTTCAAGTCCTCCCCCTGTCATATTCCTTAAGTAAGTAGAAGGCTGTCTTTTCAAATGAAATGCATACATTTTCTGATGTGTGGAAGGCATCGAAGCTCGGACTTCAAAAAACAGCTTCTAAGGATGCTAAGCCATGACAAAGTGGGGTTGGAGGGGGAGGGCTACCAAACCCCTTCTAGGCCATTAAAGGGTTCATGGAAACATTTATGTGCTCATTTAACAGACTTTACTGCATCTGGAGGGTGTGCAAGGTTCAACTTAAGTTTTAGACCCTGTTTGGGCAGTACAGGGCTGTTACCATGAAGGAAAGGTTTCACAGCAATGGAAAGAAAGGACTTGGGATTGAGGCAGCCCTCGCCTGTTCCCAGAGAGATGATCCATCAGAGGTCTAGTTAGGTCAAGTAGGAGACAGAGGTGGTGTTAGATGCTGTGGGAAATAGCTTTGGAAAAAGGCACAAGACTCCATACAGACAATCCTATTACTCAGCATTCAGTAGAAGAATGGAGGACTAGGCACAAACCTGGAATGGGCTAAAGGCAAACTTTTGGCAGGGTGAGGTTGCCTAAGTTGTGTCTTATTGGCTTTTGAGTTCTGCTGAGGAAGACTAGGAACCACTATTCTGAAAAAAAGCTGAATTAAAGGGAGACCCTGAAGATGCAGAGAAGATAATGTAGAGAACCAATATTGTGTTTGGATGCTATGTGTTTTAGACAGTCTTGGACAGGCCAAATCTTTGTAGAGATCTGATCAGAGGGGTGAGTCCACCACTACAAGAGACTGACAGCAGTGGTGCTACAAAGAGGCACTGTGGAATGAGGAGAGATGGCAGTGCTGCAAACCAGTATGCTAGGATTGGGTCTCTTACAGGGTTATAAATATTCTATAGGGGCAAATAGGGCTGGATTAACCCTTTAGTGGGCCCATGGCAAACAAACTCATGGGCCCTGAGTTGTCAAGATCCTCCTTCCCACCCTGGCACTGCTGCCCGCGGGAAGCAGGCCACTGTAGTGGCGAGGCCAGCAGAAGGGAAGGGAGGTGGACGGGGCCATTTGCACCACTGCAGAGCGAAGGACTGTCTCCCCGACCCCCTTGCAGCTCAGGGCCCTAGGCATGTGCTTAGTTTCCTTATGCATTAACCCAGCCCTGGGTGCAAACCGTATAAAGAACATGGAATTCCTTGACTTAGTGCATATAAACATAATTAGAGTCACTTTTGGTCTTGAATATTAGGGAATTCTTCCTGATGGGAAGATACTAGGCTGTGGAATAATATTCTAAAGAAAGTGATATGTGCACTGTCAAGCACAGTGCTAGTAATGTGAAACTGGAAAAAAAACCATGCAGTTCATGTCATGTGGACTAGATTGCCTAACTCATCTCTTCTATCTTTACCTGTTACAATGCTTGAAGTAATCCTTGTGGGTCAAACCAGTTATAACAGGCTTCAACTTCTTTGGATGAGAAAACCACATCCAGAAAGATGATTGAGATGGACCTGAGGACAGGCAGCTGAAAATGAGCATTTGATTAAAAATGACCTCATTCTTAACTACTGATTAGGGATTTTGCAGAACCAGGTAAGATCCTAAAATACAAGAATTCTTGTAATTTTCTGTAGGAGGACAAATCCTCATTCATGTAAGATATGCCCTGAACTATTGGATTTGAGTTGTTGTACATATGGTAAAAAGCTATAAAATCCCCTTAAAAAGAAGAGCGTTTGGAAGGCAGCTACTCTACTGTCATGACCATCTGTAATGACAACCAGGGCAGCACAGCAAAAAAGAATGAATCCTGGAAATTGGATAGATTTTTATTTATAAGCATTACATTACAAACAAAACTGAAAGAATTCAAAGATGTAAAACTGAAGTTTAAAAACTGGTATTAATCCTTTAATGTAATTCCAAATGAGTCCTAAAAAAAAAAATGAGGTGTGAACTTTAAAAAAAAAAAAGTGATAAAACATGAAAGATTAAATCCTTGTGACATCTCCAAGAGATCATCAGAAAAAGAGCAAATGAGAGAGTGCTGCTGTTGCTAAGAAATTTTAACAAGGGCATGCTGGCACCAAGTCAAGCACCTGGACTAAGTAGCTGGTTTGGCATTTGGCAGGTGTCCTGGGGAGAAATAATTCTGTATATGTTCTGTATATATACCTTGCGTTCCCCCCTCCACTCCACTTTGCTTACAAAGATAGTTATGTGAGATTTTTTTTCTGTAGATGCAAGATCAGTAAAATTATTGTGCTATTGAATTGCAGTGTTTTAGTGATAGCTATAGAACACCTAAGGTCATCTATGTCTATTAAGGCCAGGGCTCATTTTACCAGAAACATTTCTGCCTTGTAAAACTAAGTTGCCAATTCGGATGAGCAGAGCTCTTTTTTTGGTCTTCCATTCATGTTTTACTACCAGTTCTGCCTTCTGCAGACTTTCAAAAGTGTGAATCCCCTGCTGTTCTTGTGAGACTTATTTAGATCCCATCAAGTTAAACAGTAGTCATTTTTTTTCCACTTGGAGGACAGTGTTTTTTTTACATCAGGTGTGTGTATTATTTCCCCAGGTGATGCATGTATGATGATCCGTTTTCTTTTAGCTGTTGATATTTGCTAAATTGCTTTTCATAACTTTTCTGCTATGTCACTGCTCCATTCCTAAACCTGTCCAGACTGACAGTTTTCTTTGTAATGTAGTTTTGACTTTGTAGTTTTGGATAAAGTTTCTTGTTCAGGAATTGGTGGAGAATATCGGAGGGTTCTTTTATTCATGGTTTTTAATTCCAAACAACTTCTTCTCCCTTTGTAGTCTGTGACCAGCTTTAAGTCTGTGGTCTTCATAATCAGTATCTAGGTTGACAGGGCTGAGCACTCCAAATATTCTTTATTTCCATTAAGTTACTTATGCCTTTTAAGGAGTAGTTATTAAAGACATTGTTGAAGGACTGGCCCCATCTCCATCAGCGGTATTCTAATTTTGCATGAGAAACTATGCCCTTTCAAAGAGGGAGTAAAAGGAATTTGGAAACAGTTACTAATGCTTTTGCCCCATTTGTAAAATGCTCACTGTTTCTCCTGCATGGTAGGGGAGTTTTATTTTTTCTAAGTGCTATTAATATGCTGTTAGAAGCTCTTAATGTTTCAGGCCCACCTGACTATTACCTTACACATTGATTGTTTTAATATCTGCTCTTTATTTGCAACTAACCCAGGAGAACAACAGAGGAAGTAGGAAAAAGTCACCTGAACCTGCAACAATGTGGCAGCACCACTCAATTTCCTCTTTCAGTGTCAAGTACTGACTACAGTTCATAACACTTATCATTGCACTAATCAAGCATCAGAGAGAGATTGCCACCTGTCTGCCTTTTCTTTAATGTCTAATGCCTGTCACTATAGTGTCTAAAGCCAACTCTTTAAAATTAGATTGGTGTGGGAGTGTCTCTAGTGGACCTCATGTAGTTTCCTGCTCATGTCTCATGTTAGGCCCTCATATAGAAGTATATTTGCGGTGCCCTCAGTCTCCTTCTGGCTTCCCTCCTCCCCATCGCTAGCATGCCAGTTCTGTCAGGGAAACCTTTTCTGAAGCATTTCAGAGAGTATACTTTCAGTGGGTATTTGGAGGCTTGGTATGTAAAATTGCATGCAAATAATTTTTTTTAAAGTTTTAATTTCTCTGGGTAGTTACACTTGTTTGTGCATGCATAGTGTTTGTGTCAAACAGCCCACCTCATTAAAACTTACCATGTTAGGTGTTAATTTTCTCAAAAGAGCTCAAATATTAACATAAACAAGAAAATGGATCTTATTGTTGCATCTTCAGTCCCTATTCCATTAGGTTGCTTTTGTTGAGCGCATACAAACATTTTTTATAAAGAAAAAAAAATTATATATTGCATAGGAACAGGGGGACATGAGGTTAGTAGGGAAGGTGGCCATGGATACATTGTGGGAGATGAAAGTCTTTTTATTTGCAAGCTGACCTGTCCTTTAAATTGATCGGTGGAAATGTGGCAGATTGCCTAAGCAAAGTGGCATCAGAGCATCTACAGGAAGTTTGTTTGGTAAGTATATTAAGAGGTGTTTAACCCTAGCTTTCACATTTGAAATTTGATTTACAAATAGGGTTTGTAAGATTAAATTGCAGGGAAAAATTCCAACTGTATTAAATTCCATAGGACTTTATTATTGCTGCTGACTTCAGTACTGTTAGGGTTTCACTCGCAGAGTCCAACTGTGGAATATGCACTTGTACCTGTTTTTTTTTTTTAAAAAAGGGAACTTCCCACAGGCTGGTTAACTAGCCTTAATTGTCTTGTTTGAACATGGATTGGGTATCCCCAAATATTATCCAATCAAAATGGAATTGTACGTGCTATTAACTAAGCAGGTACCAATTTAGTGCTCATATTGCTAAGCATTGTAATTAAGCCTTTATGTGCATCTTAGCATGGTTATTGAGAACATACAGTACATGTTATAGCTGAAGGAATTTTGTGGAATAATTGTAGGTTTCCTTTAAAAATAAATGCCACTGCAGTAAAAATGGGGAAGCCTGGGATTTTTCTTAAACACTGAAAATAATTAGGAAGTTTAGAGCAATCAGCAGGACTAAGACTACTCAGTAATTCCAAGAGTAATGAAAGAATAGCAGGCTCTAACATTAGGCTTTTGTGCCAGGATAGAAGTTCAACATATCCTTTTATCTTCTGATAATATAGAAAGTTTGCAGTCTTTCCTTTCACCCAATTCTCCCAACTGGGAAAAAATGTTAAACCCATGATTGAGTTTTTAAAAACACATAGCAACTCGGACCCCTGCAGATGCTCTATATAAGATCAGTTGCAATTAAAATGGCACCAGGGCTTGGTTTTAAACCCTGCCAAAATATATATTGTATCATTTATATAAAAAATAAAACTTGTGAGCTTTTCTTTTGTCACTTACTGTTGAGATAAAACATGAATTATTTCACTTGTTTCGAGGTGTTCAGCTAAACATCTATGAAATGCAGAGCTACAGTAAATATCTCTGAGCCTAGACAGGTAGATGCAGTAAGAAAAACTAGAACAAATTCTTAAGTTGCCAATATTGTCACAAAGTCTCCATGCAGAATGAAGTTGTTTGACAAAGTGTTTCCCTGGTGATTTGGCTGCAGATGAAAATGTCTTCAGCAATAAAATTTCATGCTTGGGTCTCAGCTCTGTGCGCTCATCAATCAGCAAATGGCATATCAAGGATCTTTTTTGCTGGATTAGTTAATATGTTGGCAGAAATATGTGAAACATTGATATTCCTTGGAATTTCTAGGCAGTTTTTTTTTTTTACTCTTAAGCATGCATTCATTTTTTGCAAAATATATTTTGCCAGCTACAACTTACGTTACTAATCAATAGCACGGTGCCGTGGCAAATATAAAAATTTTTATGTACAAAGATTTTCATAGCCACCATTAATGACCCACACCAAGAGGTTTTCAGTCAAGGGAAATGGGTAGTGTAATACTTCCAGTGATAAAGCATCTGGAGATTATAACAGAATAAGATGTGCATGTCCTTCATGAATTTAGTTCATTATTGTCTAAATAAAATAGTATTTTGTAAAAATCTTAATCATTCTACATTTTGGTTGTAAAAGACAAATGTATTAGTCTTACCCTGTTCCATAATGGCTGATTACTTTTATAAAATATCATTAATAGATTTAGGAATTTCAATTACATGGTAGCAAAGAAGTTAATCACCCTCTATGTTAATTATTTCTGATACCCCACGAACAAATATCTTCTAGGAAACTGCCTCCTGTGTTACTGAATAGCTGTCAGTGAAGAAGTTGCTTTCCTTAAAAGATGCATTATTAAGGAGATAATTTCACCATGTTTTGTGCTACATCTGTTGCTGCCAGTACTAAATTTTATAAAGTAATTTAAAGTATGATAGATGTCAGCAATAACTATTATTTCATACCTACTTATTAAGCACAAATTGGAATTTATTGAAATCCATATGAAGATTTCATGTGAAATATAGAAATTAGTACAGTACTTCCAAAATACCTACCCAGATTTTATTTCTAGCAGCTAAATTGGATCTAGTGCAAACAACTAACACATTCTAACAGAAAGCCTCTACTTGGAGCATCCTACCTCTTAGCAAAATTTTTCAGGACAGCAGTTACCAACTAAAAATAAGCAATTTTTCTTTAATATTTTCAAGGCTAGCCACTTGTTTGGGGCAGGGGGCAGGGAACAATGGGAAAAGGGAGGATTTGAATGGGGAAACATTAAGATGACGGATTGCAAATTTATAAGAAAAGCAAGTAAAAGGAGACAGAAAAGGTACAAGTGAGAGGAGAGAGAAACTGGGAATGTGAAGGAAACTGGGAGAGGCAGGAAGGCAAAAGGAATGGAAAGAACCAAGAGGCTAGGCAGCAAAGATGGATTAGAAGACCCAGCTAATCAAGCAAAGAAAAGATATTGGAGGTATTGTGCAGCAAGGCTAGGAAATCAGAGAATTAAGTAAAAGTGGAAATCACAAACACACAGTAAGTAAGGAACAGAGGGTAGGATGAATGATATGT